AAGATACTCTTAGGTAAGTAACTAGTATTTGAATTTTTATAGTTTGTATATACATGCGAACGCGAAAAACGATCTCAGCCAATGTACAGTAAATAGTGTTTCCTTAAGAGGTTTTCCTTTTTAGATCAACTCATCTTAAAAAGTTAGAATGTACTTAATCACGCCTTTTTGAAAATAAATTTTTTTCTGGAAAGACATTCATTTTACTACATGATCAACTACTTTACTTTCGGCATGGAATCGAAGAAAAAATAAAATGGGTTCTTAATTTCTCCTCTTTTCTATCCTCCCCCCCCCCCCCAATTGAGGCGCAGTGATGCACAAGTCGTAAGTAAATATTCTTGGGTATGCGTAGAGAGTGTTATTTGTTTACCGGGACAAGGATTTTGGCAAAGAGTTGTTTATTGCATGCTTAGTGAGGCGTTAATTGTCTGCCTCTTGTATGGATTTTCTACGTTTCTGCAGAAATATGGATATTTTTCTGAGTTTTTGCGCATTTCACGTAAATTTTCGCCGTTAATAGTGTGGAGAACATATTTAGTGGAATATTTGTTATTTTTGGCTCAGGAATTTTAAATGAAGACTAGCGACTTTATACTAGTTCGCCAATTATGTACAGCGCCAAACAAGTATAAAAAATCCGCAAATGCACTACAGCGGAATTTACGAAAGGATTAGTGTGGCTTTGCTCATCAATGCGCTATAGTGCGTTCCTGAAATATTTTCCTGCCAATTTCTATTTTTCAAAACTTTATCTCATAATGAAAAATGCTCGGCTGAGTAGTTTTGACATTTTAAATTTCAAGCATTTTTGCTTTGTTGGGAAGCGAAACCTCTGCGGAACTTTCGCCCGGTCAAAGTCCTGCAGAATCTTGTTTTTATTTTTGTGTTAGGCGCCCGTTATTGGAGTAGAAAAAATGATGAACATTACGCAGTTCATCGTCTTCTTTGAAGGAACCTAAGGGCAAACTTTTCTGCCTTTACTCCCCCCCTCCTCTCTTCCCCTTCCCCTCACGCTCGCTTTCTCCTTTTACTCCTTCCTCTTCCCTAACGATGACGATTCCTTTACGATTGCTGGCAATTATGCGCATTCTCGTGATGAATGTGCTGTTTTTCGGGCCACTAAAGTGAATGTCAGAGAATGGCCGGCATATAAAAATGCTAACATATTCAGCTAGTTGTTTTAGTCAAAAAATTTTGGGGGAAAAATTGCATGGAAGCTTATGGCTCAGTAAGTCAGGCCGGGCTAAACACAGTCGCCGTGCAAAAAAAGTGTGTGAGGAAGCTATGTTTCTGTGGAAACGTTTAAAAAGTTTAGAAAAAAAGGTAAAAGTGCATAGAGTATGGAAACGAATAAATTCAATTTGATCACTCGCACGTTTTTTTGTATGTTTTCTGCTTTGCCGTATGCAAAAAAATGCACTGCTGAAGATTTCTGAAACATTCTAGTTCTTTCAAGAATAATACACTACCCTTTCTTACCTCTACGGAGCTTCAGACAGTTCGAAACCTGCAAGATTATTGATACTTTTGAATTTCTAATGCGAAAATTTTATTACTCTCCAATTTTGTCAGATACTCTTCAATATCATTTTTGCTTCTTTACTGTTGAAGCTCTGATTCTCATCAGAACCTCGATAGTGCTCTGGATTTTGCAGAACAACCAATAGATCAAAATCCTGCGGAACTTCTGCTGGTTGCCTAACAAGGAAAAATATGGCAATTTTGCAAAGAAAAAAGCTCATAACTTCCTTCAATAATGCTCCGCAGCAAAAAGCAGGATATTTGGAATCAGCGTTCGAAGCTGAAAACGCGATATTAAGTTATCTGACATTCCTTGTGATTTGTGATTTGGAACATCTAAAAGAAACGTGATATCTTCGGTCATCCCCATATCCTTGGATTTTTCTTAAAAACTTCAAATCTTTTTCCTTGTGAAGTCTCGGTTTGTAACTTCTATCACTGCTAACGATAAATTTATGTGTAATGTAACTATGCAACGCTCTGCGATCAGGGCCCGGCACGAGGTGGGCAAATGACAAGCTGGAAATTGTTTCAGGGCCAAAAAGCAAAGGGGATATCGTTTTTGCGGGATCCGTTGCCGCTAATGGCCGCGTGCGCGACGTCGCATGAGCGATGCAGTTGAACAGCATGATTACATGATCAGTTCTCAATGCAGGCGTAATGATATAGCATGAAATTACGTAAGCGAACAAAGAGAGGCTAGTAGAAACAAAGAATGAAATGTTATGAAAAACTTATGTGAATGGGAGGTGTAATAAGCATTTTTTCAAAAAATTTCGCAAAACTGGTAAATGAAGATGTGAATTCAAATGGCTCGTTTGCAGCGCACAGATGATCATACGGTATGAAACTTAGTAGTTACATGAACACGGGCCTGCAGGGCTTATCTTAGAAGTTTCTTTGAAAAAATTATGTGAATGAAGGTTGTGGCAAGCTTTTTTCTGAAAATTTCCCACTATCAAGAAAATGGAAAAATGGCTCGTTTGCAGCGCAGGGAAAACGAAATCGCGCGAGACTTGGTGTGTATACGCGCGCAGTAGGACTAAGGAACGATGTATGAAAAATTATGAAAAACTTAGGTGAATGAAGAGCGTGCTTAACTTTTTTCCAAATTAGGTGGGCAATTGCCCACCTAAGGCCCACCTGAGGTGGGCAAAACTTTCAATTCACATAATTTTTTCAAAATTTTTACATAAATCTGTTGTTCACCTAAAGTTTACTATATGGTGAGATTTTGGTTCCAAAACTCCTCCTCTTTTCTTTGTTAGAGCCCAAAATCGTATCAGCAGCCTAGCTTTATAAGATGGAAAGCGCTCCCCAGTCAATCGATACGCGCGGGAACGGCGTCTCTCAGCCCTATGACTGCGTTCCTTTGATATTTTTGCATTCCTTCATCATTTTTCTTGCTTATTTTTCTTTCTGTTTCCTATCTTGATACAGGTGAGGCGTAATTAGAGGAATTTGAGCATTTTGAGCGCTTTTGGGCGAAGTGTGGCCCTCTCGTTCCACAAGCACAAAGCGTCATTTTTGAGCTCAAGGGGGTATTCGTAAAAACTATTGGGGTCAAAGGGGAATTCGTTTTGGAAAACCCCGTCTGCCCACCTCGTGCCGGGCCCTGTCTGCGATTACTGCTATCTTGCTTTTGTTGTTTCAGTTTTTTTCGTCTAATAGGAGCTAAGCGCGGGAGAAAGTAGAGGAGACTGCATATTTCGAGACGAATATAGCTTTCATCATGGCAGACGAAATTTTCTCTTTTAGGCCTTTCTTACTTTTTTAGACTTTCAAAAGGCTATCGAGAAAAGCGAGAATTAATTCCAAGTGACCAGCGCATGACCTAAAAGTTTGTGAAAACGTATGCTTCGCTCTTATTTGAGTGCAAAGAATGTACGCGCAGCATAACTACAATGCTTCTGCTTTTTTTCTTTAGTTTCAGTGCAACTAAAACTGAAGAAAAAAATGCCGAAGTGGCCAGGGACTTCAAGATTATGGTAGCCTATTTTATTATAAAGGAAAAGGCAAAACTTTAGTTTCTTCAAGGTTTCTTCTGCAGTTTTTCATCCTTGAAATTGACTAGAAGAAATATTACCAGATTAGCCCGACCTTCTTCAGCTTAATCGAAATTAGTGGCTTCTAGTTTCCATCGGCCATATTTCTAAACTGTTCTTTTCTTCTTTTCGAAACAAAAGATCAAACGCTATCGACCATGGGATATAAAAGATGGGTTCAAAATTTTTTTCTCAAGAAATCTTCTGTAATGTAAACTAGACCCTTTTTCCCTACTAATGAATCCCGAAGAGAGTCTAGATTTCAAAACTTCGTCTAAGGAAAGGGAGTTTTCTATTTTATATAGATCGGGGTCTTTCGCAAGCCGGAGTAAGCTTTATAGTACATCAATGTGTTCTTGGATAAATCTTTGCTGTCTTTTTGTCATTCAGGGTAGAATGACTTGGCTAAAAAGGGTTCGAGAGGTCTTCGTGTTTCTAAGTCAAATTCGTATTTGTCGTCATGGTAATTGTAGACTTGTTATTCAACTCTAAGCGCTTCTAAGCTCCCAAATCTGTTTACTTGAAGGGCGATTGTCTAAGATCTTCTTCCTTGTAGACAAAAACCCTCCACATTCGGCGCGTTTTTAGAGGCAAATTTTTTAATTTTCTTAAAGTAATAACAAATGTACTTAATAGATAATAGAAATGACCAAAAATCGCTTTTTTTGAAGTAAAAAGTGCCAAATAGCGCTATGTTGATGACATTTACTGATGCAGCTTAAACTTAGCGCCCGTCGTTTGTCTCCCATCATCCTGGCAGCTTGCTACTGGTCCATCGACTGCGCGCGCCACGCCTACTCAGCACTATTTATAGATGGATCTGGATCTGTAAAGCACGTGACCTAGTACATCCAGAAGCTCCAAGAATGATAACAAACATTAGTAATCTAAGAGGTCCAAAAAGCAAGACTTTTTTGCCTTATTAGTGGTGAAAACTGAACTTTTATGGGATTTTTACATATTATGATGATTTTTTCCATACTTTACCTTGCCTGGAAAAATAAGAATAGTGTGTTTTGGTATATTCAAACGCTTTGGAACATGGAAAAGTTCAAAAAACAAAACAATCAAACACTAGAGCAAAATCAAGTTTTTTTTACAATGTGTATGTGACAAAGCTCTAAAGAAAACCTTTTATGGCCAAGAAAGTGAAGAAGATATTAAATCTCACGTTATTATTCTAAGCATTCACAAGTTTCTCAGCTGTGCCTTGGAGCTTTTTGTTTTTGTTGCAGTGTCTTTAAGTATGTGCATTCTTCACTTTTATGACTCTCAAAGAGCCTATTCGCCCCTCCTTTTTTGGTTTGAAGTATTATTGTAGCACTTATCATGCACATTTTCATGCTCAAAAGCTACATGTTTCGCATTCGCTCACTTTTTGTTATTGCTCCATCCCATTAATTACCGTAATTTTTTCTAGACGGGATCCATATGGTTGCATTATCGGATTCCACCGTATATATCCGAACAAAATGCTCGGTGGAAGCTGTGAAGAAATTGAATTTGTGGTATGTTCGAATACATTTTTTGAATAAATTTTTTTGATTTCTCTTTTTCGTCATATTTCTGGTTTTTCTGGAATTCTGTGATTTACTTAGAAGATTTAGTTGTATTATAGTGTCTGATGGAATCTCATAGCATTTGGGCGAATTTTTTGGCAAATTTCCCTTCATCAGCGGTTTCTCTGCAAAAATTAGTTTTAATTTTTGGGGTATTATTTCTATTTTATACATTTGTAAGAAAACGGACTTGGGGTGGGGTAACAGAAACATAAAATGTCAAATAAAAATTTGTATATGGCCTTTTCTAAATTTTTTTTGCTCATCAGTGAAATTTATCTTGCAAAAACATCTTTATTAGTTCAACGACAGCTGTACGCCCTACCAGTAAACGCTACCTCCTCCTTACTTTAGCCCCCCCCCCCACCAACTTTTGCATGTATCATTTTTTTGACCATCGATGTCCTTTCCAAACGTTCTTGCGTACTAGTTTGTTAGTCGGCAGCTGTATAGACATGCAGCATCCATAATTGAATTACCCGGAAGTGCCCATAAAATCCTAATTGGATGTCAAATGGCTATGGTATGTATAGGGGTCTGATGCTCCAACGTATGGAAAACCCTCGCAAAAAGCAAACTCTGGGCTTATCGTCATTAAATCAAGGGTTCTCAGCAATTTTTTGAATATAAGAAGGTTTTGCCCTAGTGGCATCTTGGAGCTAGCAGCGAAAAGCCCTGAAAAAAATTCGTTGCTAATGAATGAAATCCTCGTATAAGTTCAACTCCGAAACTAAGGAATTAGTAGGAAGACAAGGAGAAAATATTGATTGGGTATTCGAAATGAGTGTCTTCGTTTCGCTGAGATATACAAGAAGCTTATTTGAAAAGTTTCTTCCAAAACGACTAAGAAAGAAGCTTTTAATTTCCTAGCGAAATCTTGTGTAAGTTTCGATGTCTAAATTCAAAAAAATCGTAACGCCAATCCAACAAACATCAGGTAACGGGAAACCGCGGCGGGTCCTGAAGCGAACCTAGTTGTAGCACCTTTAGATTACCGGTGCACTAGTTTAGCAAAAAATTCCGTCCCCGCCTGCGAAAAAATTCCTCTATTCGCCATTGCTACTTTAGTAAAGTTCTATTATGAAAAGCTGTTATACTGATTTAGAAGTAACTGTAGGATTTTGAGAGCTCCTCCAAAATTTTTTGTTAAACATAATTGTTGTTGATTCAAATTCACTGCTATATCTATACGGCCGGGCATACTTCAAGCGATTTCAGTAGCGACGCGATTTGGCAGTATTCCAACTGCCCGTGACTCACTGTAAGCACATTTTAAATGTACAGAAGATAGGGCATTTTATCAATCCACGTAAGTTATACACACTATGCATGTGCAGTTTGCTAGTGTTGGATCTGAAGACTTCTGGCGGATTGCCAAATCGCATCGCGACTGAAATCGCGTGAAGTATGCCCGCCCCTTATGTTTGAGTATTTTTTCAACCGAAATTATCTCATCCGAACCGACACCCTCACACAATTTGTTTATTCTCAAATCTCCGACATTTAACTTCTTGAAAAAATCCGGCTCCAAGATTTTTAGAATCCGACTTTATACACGCTATATCCACCCTACTCCCTTTAGCTTAGAAGGGAAATCAAAAATCATCAAATTATTATAGAGAATCTCGACTTGTTCTATGGCTACAATCCATAAATTCTGATAAGTGTGGATGATTTATAGTCCACCAACAATGCATGTCTATTAGGCTGGTGGGACAGTACATAGCGACTGCCAAAGGGGAGGAGGAGGGGCGGGGGGGGGGGGAGAAGGGAAAAGGAAATCCCAATGGCTATGAAATCATCCGGCATCCGAAAAATTTCACGCATCATAAGCTCGCACTTCTTGATAGCAATAATATGCGTCAGCAGCTACAGATAACTCCCGAGTGAATTCTTGGAGCATGTTTTTTCCTACTCTATTTCGAATGTGAGCATGCCAGTAAAGGCATCGACTAGGCTTGCGGTTCGATTCATGGCCGATTCTCCAGGGACACGTTGGGCTGTTGCACGATGCCATGAGTCTATCCGCTGGCGAAATGAATAGTTGTAAAAGTAAAGTTTGTTGCTGTGCGGTTTGTGCAGGGAGAATGTGTGGTAGGAAATGGAAAAGTAAAATGGAAAGAAGAGCTGCTCACAAAGGTATCCTTTAGGAAAATTTGGGTCTTAAATTTTGATTATTTCCTGTAAAAAACGGCAAAGCTTGAAGGGACATTTTTCCAATCACAACAGTGTCGGATTTTCTCTTCCAAACACCTGAATCTTCATGTAGCGATTGAGAGGATTGGACTAAGCCATTGCCCAAACGGCAAGTCAAACGATCCATTCTCGGTCGAGAAAATCAACTTCAAAACCTTGCCCAGTACCGTGCTCGGACGCTGTTTGCAGGGAAAGGTTACGGTGCTGGGCGAGAGGCTAATAATTGCTCCGCCACAAAGTGAATGAGCTGTCTTGGGCAAGCTTATGTACTCAGACGATTGCACGGAAGTTCCGCTGAACATTAAGCGAAGGAACCTCCCGCTGTTGAAAGTGCTGCGGAGGTTTCTTGCGTCAAATTCCTGCGCAAGATTCTGTTTTCGACGCTTAATTTGTGATAGTGAACAAAATACTGTGGAAGTGCTGCAAACACTGCTTGTCTGGCGGAAGTTCCCGTGGCTGTTTGAGCAGAACCCCGTTTACTTTCCCTATATGAAGGTGAGGTATTTGAATTCGATAGGATACTAGACTTTATCAAGTCGATATGGAATTGCATTGAATAGAGCTAAGGGTTTGCAAATTTCAATATGAAAATTGTTTTGCTGCGGAAAAGAAAAGTATTCGTAATGGGGTCAAGAGGCTAGCAGTAAAAACTTACTCTGGAAGGAAGATGCGCTCATTCGAGCGTAAAGCTTTCATCATTTTTGATCATCCTCTTCAACTCTTGAGCTTTCCAAGCGAGTTGTCAATTCCAAGCGTTGTTTCGTAAAAAATTCAAAATGCTAGAAAAATTTGCTGCAGTGTTTCCTAGCAGGCTCTTTTTGACATTGCCATGACTCCCATACTAACTTTTCCAAGAATAAATTTTATGGCTAAGAAACCATGATTTATGAACTCATGAAAAATTGTTTGTGTTTCTGCGTTTTTTCTTTTCAATGGCGCATCTTGAGTGAACGTAATAAATAATAAAATAAATAAATGAATAATTAAGTTAATAGATTAATCAATACAAAACTAAACTCGTGTTGGGAGGCCGCCAATACTTTGCTTCCATTCTGAAAATGCGTAGTTGAAAAATGGTGTGTTGCAGTGGCGTACCGAGGGGGGGGGGACGCGGCCCCCCCCCCCCCCCCCGAGAACGGGTCGCGAAATTTTTGAAAGTTACTTACATGCGTTATAAAGTGCAAATGAGTTGTTTATTTTTGTAATCAATTAAAATAATTTTAAAAATTTTTTAAAAATTCAAATTAGCCTTATAAAAATTTTTTTTCGGGGGCGTGGCTGACGCCACGCCCCCTTTTTCCAGATTTTAGAGGTTGGGGACCGCAAAATTGTTGAGAAGCTCCCCTAAAAATTTTTCGGAGAAATTTTTTGAAAAATTTGCCACTCGTGTGTTGATATGGAACTGTTCACTCTAGATCCTTTATTTTATCAAGAAGGTCCCTATTGCAAAAAAGGAAGGGAGAGAAGATGTCCGACTTTTCGGACAGCTGAGGCATTGAAAAATAAACAGCTTTGTTGGGCTATCACCTGCCAATTATAGGTTTTCGATATTTGAACTGATTTCTGAAAAGTACAGGGTAAAATTGCAGGTTGAGGAAACTTTTTTTTTCAAAATTGTATCTAACCCAAAAATTGATTTGGTTACATCCCAGTTTTGCGTAGAAGATTGACGGGAATGATTGGCTGATTGGTACAAATTGAAATTTTTCAAATTGTTTCTATCCCATTCAAATTTCTTTACTTTATCCCAAAAAGTAGTTGCTGAGAAGCAAATTTTTTGCCATAACAGGAATTTTTCTAATTCAGGGGATGCGATATCGACGACATATCTATCTGTGAAAGAATGGTAAACATCGAAGTGCTTTCATTGAGGTAATCATTTCAATTAATTTTTCGTTTGTATTTTTCTTTCCGGAATATTGTTTCAACTTCCTCTTCAGTGTGAATCGGGTCGAGACCCTGCAGCCACTGCGGAATTGCACTCGTCTTGTTGAGCTTTACCTCCGAAAAAACAATATTCAAAGCCTTACCGAGCTCGAGCACTTGAAAGTGGGTTTTTAACGGCGCCATAAAATGGCCGCATTAACGTCAATGGCGCATTTTCATCAATATTCATGTCAACAGGACCTACGTAATTTGCGTGTGCTGTGGATAGATGAGAACCCGTGCACGAAATCAGGTGACTACCGTCATCGTATTCTACGAATTTTACCACAATTGACCAAGTTGGACGATCGACGTAAGTTCCAATGTTTCATGGTGAGTAGAGAACTGGTGTTTCGTAGAGTCGTCATGGCGTTGGCTTGTGGAGAGAGTCTCCAAATTTTTCTCGTTTCATATTTCTTGCGAAAACTGGTCCCCAGTTTCGGCATGGACAGTGATTGGGGATCGGCCTGAATTTTCAAAGATTTATTTGAATTAAATTAGTGTTTCATGATTGTTATATCGTGGAATGATGTAGTAGACAAATTTCCTAAAATTTTCTCTTAGTTTTTTTGCGAGAACTGGTCTCCAGCTTCGAAATGCACAGATCGACATCGAATCAAGTTTGCGGAACTCCATCTTGAAGTGAAGTGGTGTTTAGTCGTTAGTTGTTGATTATATCAGAGATATAATCGTCAAATTCCCTCTTGGCATATCTTTCTGCGAGATATGCCAAGAGGGAATCCCAATGGTCCCCAATTTCAAAAATTTTTGCACATAAGCTGGTGCCCTGCATGTGCTTGCTGCAGATTATATGCAAAAAAGTCATCATTTACCTTCAATATGGCTTGAAGGCCGATGCTGCTACACTTGAGCGAGAGCTGGTCCCCATTTGCGGAAATTTTTGTGCAGTAAGTTCAAGACCTTAAAGGCAGCGTCCAGGCAAATCTGGGCCCAAGGGGTTTTTGCCTTGAAACTGATGAGGGGGTCCTAACTAGCGCACTGCCCAAGCGGCAGGGCAAATAGTTCATTCATGGCTGAAAAATCCGTCCCCAAAAACCCCGCGCCTGCGCCGCGACCGTAACCCAAAAACGACTTCGCTCACTTTGACACTAAGTTCGCGCCGGGACCCATCCTAAGTGTTATGGTCACGGCGCATGAGCGGAGGGTTTAAGGACGGATTTCTCAGTCGTGAATGAATCTTTCGCACAGCCGCTTGGGCAGTGCGTCAGTTGGGACCTCCTCATAAGTTTCCAGGCGAAAAGCTCATGTGCCCAAATTTGCCCGGACACTGCCTTAGATTGCTAAATCTGAATTACGTAAAGGAAAAATCTCTACACTTCTCTGCATTGTCGCTTAAAGACATGCTGCTAATTGATAGGCGAGAACTGGTCCCCGATGCCGCATTTTTACATAAAGCAGCCGACTAACTTATATGACTGTGACACCTTCTAGAATTTAAGTGAGTTTGGTGTCAAATTATAGACTTTCGGCTGGTCTATCATGAAACTGGTCTTTTGCATTTTTCGACTCGAGCACTCTTTTCTATTGGTAAGACTTAGTATGTACAGTTGGCATCTAGAAACATTAGATTTTTCTAGAAACTACACAGTTACTTAAAAAGTATCCTTCGGGGACCAGTTTTCGCATACTATACTGTATATGCATATTATAGCCGTGACCTTGGACGACCATATGGAAGCCCAACAAGACGATTCTGCCCCAGAATGTGATATGCACTCTAGCATGTTGAGTCTGAATAGTGCTCGCAGTACCCGAAGCAGCGTTACCGTACATGACGCTATGACACAGTCGCTATACGGTAAGTGAAATTCCTCTGCTTCTCTGCCTCTCCTTCGTCTCATTTTTGTTTGTCTGCGTCTCTCCATTCACGTGCTATCTCAAAAAGTAGTGTTAGTGTCAGTGCCTCCGTTTCTCTGCGTCTCTTCGACCACGTGCTATCTTAAAATACTTTCTAGGAAAAGCCATAGTGGATACGGTAATGCAGCCACAAATGGTCAGCTATGGAGATGCATCGGACGAGGAACGACTTCCACCGCCACGGGATCCGCAGTCATTTCGAGAATCCATGAGAGGTTCAAGGCTAAGCCTAATGAGCCAGTCTATGAGCCAGTCCATACATCCGGCATTAATGACGCAGTCAATCTATGAGCCTGCACATGAGGAGCGAGAAGATGATTGGGGTGATTTCAGGTTGGTGCAAAATGATTTTTTTTATAAAAGGGGAATGAGAGGAACCATATGGAGGGGGGGGGGGAATTTGAAGGAAATTGCTCTGTTCTAACTGCCATCGTGAAGTCAAATTATCAAAATTGCTGTAGGGGCACGATAAAATCATCACCGTGTACACACGCTTAGAAAGCTAATTATCAAGATTTCTGTAAGCACACGGCTAAAATCACCATTGTGATAAATTCCTTTGGACCTAGTTTTTAGATTGCTGCAAAAGTACGGTAAAATCTCCACCGAGAATTTATTTGAAAGCCCAATTTTCGAGAAGTGTGAGATTACGGTAAAATCACTGCTGTTGATATTTAGAAAGTCTAATTCTCCACGCTAGTGGCATGGTAAAACCACCATTATAAGATTACGGTAAAACTCCCATATATTTATCTAAAAAGGCCAGTTTTCATGCCAATTGTAAGAGGAGTGCAAATCACCATCGCATTCTATCCACTAAAAACCTGACTCTTTGGACTACTGTAAGAGTACGGTAATCACCATCGCATAGATTCCTTCAAAAAGTCTCTTGAAGCGGGTGTAAAGGGCCGGGCATACTTCAGGCGATTTCAGTCGCGACGCGATTTGGCAACATTTCAACTGTTCATAACTCATTGTAAGCAAATTCTGAATGTACAGAAGATAGGTCATTTTATCAATCCACGTAAGTTATACGCACTATGCATGTGCAGTTTGCTAGTGTTTGATCTGAAGACTTTTGGCGAACTGCCAAATCGCGTCGCGACTGCAATCGCGTGAAGTATGCCCGGCCCTTAAGTGTACGATAAAATCACCATCGCGACAAATATAACCATGCTGCAGTTGGAAACCCTTGCCGAAAGAATTTGCCTAAATTTGCCAAAATTGGATAGCAAACAACTATGGTAATTCCTTTAGATTTCCTGTAAAACTCTAATTGAATTTTTTATTTCAAAAACAGTATTTCGATTCAAGTCAAAATTCCCACGACTCCTCTTTCTATACCATCCTCCAAGAGACTTGGTCATACGTTGTCAGCCACTGTTAATTATAGTAACTATTCGGCAACTTGCTCGTTCAAGTGGAGACGAGTGGTTAACAATGTTCAAGTGGGTCGAAGATCGGAGGTCATAATTATTTTTGCCGTACTGTAAATCCATATATAGTTAGAAATTATATCTTATAATTTATTTTACTGCAGCAACAAACTTTACATGATGGGGTCTGAATAATGGCACAAAATGTGAGAACTCGCAGTTTGAGCGACTTTTTATGAATAAATCTGATCTAAATGAACACTACACCTTAGTAATGCTTTCAATGCATGCTGAATTCTTTCATACCCCCTCTTTACGCTTTTTTACAACCCTCAGAAAAATTTCAGCACTCCAATCAAAAAAAAGTGCGCCATCAGAATCGAAGCGCGAACGTCATTATTTTCTTTGATTTTCCGCCCAGTTACGCCAAAAGGTAAAGGGACATTGTTTCCAAAATTCCCAAGTGCCAACTCGTGCCGAGCCTTGGTTTCACCCCACAAAGTTTTAGGCATTGTATTTATCTCCGAAAGTTCCCGTTTTTATGTGCAAAGACGCTGCTGTTGTTCGAAGGGCAATCATAATTCTAAGACAAATGAGTTTTCTTATAGTCTAGAAATGGCTGGCATGGAGATTGTATCTGTTCAGAAATGCCTGCAATTTTTTTTTCGTTATGAATAAGACAGATATTAATATTTGGGCCAGGCATTAGGTTTTATCAATATTTTAAGCTTTTCGATCGGTACAGGATGCTTGTGGGACTTTCTTTTCCCGCTCTCTCTCCCCCTTCCCTGCTGCCAATATTTCAGGCGACTATAAAAGAATTGCCTTGTCGAAATTAAATGTATAGAAAGTTATGAATTCTGTCGCCTACAGTGTACCCACCATAAGCTACCGCAATAAACAAGCTAATGGTAACAAAGAAGCGTTGTACGAAAGAGAAAAATTCTTAAGCAGGACAATATTGTGACTTTTTCGAGATACTATAATGAAAATTTTTAATTTGTTCAAATCTAGTTGCGAGGCCCTAACCTACCTGTTGATTTGTAGATATGATTATGTATGAATAGAAGGTGAAAGGCCTGAGTACTGAAAACGAAAAATTCTTGTTAACTCACTATTTGTGCTAAATGCTCGATCTACGATAAAAAGCTTGAGTATGTAGTGCAGAAAATGGCATCTGAAGCCGGAGGAATCCATTTGATGCGCTATCTCTGGATTGGCAAGAAAATATATTCTTAGAGTTTTTTCGTCCACGAGGGTGGAGAAAACCACTTTGAGGCCCCATCTCCTTGTTAGCAAGAGTTCCGTGATTGCATTTTGACTCAATTCTTAAGCAACATATAAGAGCTACAAAGGCTATGTTTGCATCAAAAATTTCTAGCTCCTGAATTCTCTAAAAAAACTTTTGGTAAACATTTTTGAGCATTAGTTCTCAGTTCACTTTGTTGCCTGTGGATTTCTTGGAAGCAGAGCTAAATGACGAGCTCCGCATTCTGTTGCTATACAATCCTTTCACAACATGGAATTGAAAAATAAATGAATCTTCGGAAGATGAGAGCTTACATAGAAAAATCGGAAAGGAAGAGCTTCCAAATGATTTATTTGTTTGTGGAATTGATTTTGGTCCAAAAGTAGTAATTTAAAAAAGAGGTTCAAAATGGGGGAATCTTGAAACAGCTCAATGTACACTGGAGAACGATGGTAGGATGGTTATGTTTGAAATTAAATTCGATTTAGAATGAATTTTAGCAGTTTTCTATGTTCTATTTTCATAGTCATCCAGTAAAACAAGCCGTAAATATAGCAAGAAGAACTAACTCTTTCGTTTATCTTATCGATCACTGAATAGCATTTTCGTGGCAATGACGTCTTTAGAGAGCAATCTCGTTATTTTGATGGGCACAGAAAAGTGAACGACGTCAAAATATTTGATCGTCACTGATGTGTTTTGTATTCGCGTTCCTCGACATTCATAATGCGCTAAGGTTCATTGACTTTGCAAATAGGACAAGATGCTTTATGCGTCATTTGCTTATAATGACCTTGAAATAATTCTGAGGACATTTTTGATGCTCTATAGGTATAAGGAGTTATTTCTTCCGATCTGACTAGTAAAATTGAAAAATGTTTTGGTGTTCTTGCGTAGGCGACAATATTTGCACGTAAACAATGGGATTATGGGCTTTACGGATACTTTTTATACGCAGAGCGCAAGCAAGTTCGACATCCGAAAGTACTCTTTCATTGGTATATTAATACTTGTCTACGCGCAAATGTTGTCGCTACCGCAAAGGCACCACATTAGCCATCAGAACCATTCAGCTACAACTTTATTAACTTTTAAAAAAGTAATCAAAATCTTATCATAATGTCGAAAGCAGTAGAAATTCTCAGCATTTTTTCTTCTGTGGAAGAACATTTATCTTCTGACGAGGTAGTGTGTCAAGTTCAAGTCCAAATTCTCTAAAGGGGGCGTGGCTCGTAGCATTCGAAATCCTCTAGAAATGGGCGTGGCCTGTAACATTCGAAATGCAGCTTCTTTCCCGAGGCCAAATTTAATTTCCCAACTTTCGGTTTCGATTTACCCTTGAAAGCGACTACTAAACCCTTTGCGTTATGACCTATGTAAAATGTGAGTGAACCACTTTTCATAAACAGGAAAGGGTCCTATCTCGCTTCTACCCCTACCCCCCCCCCCCCGGGTCAGTCTTGCGTGCGTCCCTGCTCGGAAATGACATGGTAGAAAAGTAGAGAAAGTGGATTAAGGTTTTTGACGGGTAGGGGACAACCGAAGAAATAGCGTAGGGAGAGAGGGGAGAGGAAGGAAAAAAACAACGATTTGACCTAGTAAGTAAGACATTGTTTATGGCTAAAATATTGACTCTGGAATGGTGCCCAAAATTTCTGTAAGCAGCCATTGGCTTAGATTTTTGCACTAAAAGTATCCGATCGTACACTGTTCTATTGCTGTTAATCACCAAATCTCACCTTTTCAGCCTGGAAGAGGAAACTCGTCCACTTTCGATGGATGCCATTGCAAATAGAATGTGTATGTCAATGTACGAATCTAGACGAACTCCTACTTCTTCAACATATCAGCGAAGTGTCAGTGCTCCTAGGCGAAGACTTCATCCCCGAAGGGAGTCACAGAGCCCGGCTCGGGTAAGTTCTGGGAGCTCTTTGGAAACCCTGGGACGAGTAAATTTCCCTTCTCAGGACATCCGAACCGGGAAAATCATGTCAGCAGTGTCAGTATTGTTGGACGAGTTAGACGCTGATGGCTTGCGAGCTGTCATCGAGCAAGCACAAGATCGTATGAAGAAACGGTGGTAGATCAAAGTCTTTTGGATTACTGTACTTTTTGGATTACTGTATTGGACTCAATCATGTTTTGACAAAAATATGACCCATTTCTCACCTAATTTCTGGTTGATTTCCAAAATGTTCTGTATTGCCAAGGCTTCCCTACATTGAAGTGATTCGGCGGAACTTTCGCCAAAGTTTCTGGTGCTATTTCTAGTCTACGCATACGCATAAGCGAATAAGCCTTAGTCTAAATTGTCCTGTTCCGTGCATCTACCTCCCACCGATGAGAAGCTTATTCTATGGCCTATGTCATGTTGTTTTGTGTGCATGTGCACAAAATTTTTTTTGACTTTCCTTTGTTCTTGCTTTCTTTAGTTTCGTTTGCCTTCGCAAGAAATGGAAAAGAACTTTAGTATCTCAATGTACTTTACTGGATTAGGCGCGGAGTTGTTCATACGTTTTGATTTCTTTGAAAATAAATCATGATTTCCGTCCGATGCAGCTAGAAAATTTCTAAACATAAGTATCCAGATTCCAGAGCAGAGGTTTTGCAGTTATACCTCGTAGCAAAAAAATGTCCGTCTAATAAAAGGAACCGTCGTAAAAAATTCAACTAAGTCAGCACGAATTATTACTCGACATGACTCGTGTAGTGATGAATGGAAAGTAAGGAGCACACAGTTTGGACTGTCCAACATACACCTTTCAGCTTTTCTGAGATGGCGCAGTATTTCAGCTGGACAACTAGCACAGACGGTTTTGTAAAGGTGCACAATTTGTACCAGATATCCGCGCAGGAGGAATATGTCGGCGGGAAATGGGCTGATTGTAATTTCAAGCATTAACATAACATTGTCAACGAACGCTTCTTGCACGGTGATAAATCATTTCTTTTTGACTATTACGATGTGTTATAAGAAAATAAATACAAGAATTCTCAAAAATACAAAAAATGTAGATTTCAGTCTTTATTGAAAAAATCTCACAACCAGATAGTACTTCTGTCATAATCTGGTATGAACATGATATTATTCCATTTGTAACTGCAGTGATTATCCCAGACAAGTCTACTTTTTATACGACTTTGGAGGCAACATCCACCAAGTTGAGGTTGGGGGATTTTCAACATTTTATAGAGAGGGGGAGGGGTGGGGGGCTAAATACGCCCAAGTTTTGCTGCAAAAGATGAAATCCGAAGCGGAATAAACGCTCCGGAAGGTACTAGCAACCCAGGTAGCTCCGCCCATCAACGTGGGTAGTCTGGAAATAACAAACTCGAAAGCGGACCCCAGGGTAGATAGAAAGGTCGGTCTTATGACCATAATGAACGGCGTATTTGTGACAACTTTGACAAATTAGAGCTCGATTTTGGACTTGTTAATTTCGGACCAATCACGTTGATGGGCGGAGATTTCTGGGCTGCTTGTACCTTCCAGGGCGTGTTTCTCTTTTAGGAGTTCACCTTTTCGGGAATGGGCGATTACCTGATAGGGGCCCACGCTATTAAACAACATCAAAAACTCGGAATCGTGAACTTGGGTGGAGGGTGCTTCTAAGCATCGTTCTGTAACCAGACAAGAAAGTCCAAAAAGTGCGAAAAATTTTTCAAGTGAATTCCAAAATCGTATGTAAAATCATACATATCGTATTGACCCAGTTTATTCAGTTTATTGTTGAGATTTAAAAGTTTTTAATTGTTTTTGTAATATACTGTCGTAAGACGCGGCAAAACATAAATAAATGTCGTTTCTTGCTGAACGTAAATTGCAGTTTCTCTGCAGGCTCCGTTGTAAACACATCCTATGAACAATTAGAATAATGTTTCTGCTTTGGTAAAATTAAAATGCTAGTCTTGTAAGAAATTTCTTTGAAATTGCCAAATTGTTCATAACTTATTGGGAGTTAATATGAAAAGCTTGAATACGATTGCGCAGAACTTATTGGAACACATTTCAATTGAATGTGTGGGGTTGTATTTACATTCACCAAGTAAAATGTTTGTCCCCTGTCGTCCCCCCCCCCTCGGCAACTCTTTCCGAGAATCTGAGCGTTTAGCACTCTGATCTTAATTTGAATATTTCCGATGTTGTCTGCACCATGTTTGATAAAGCTTTGAATCAGATTTTCTTCATAACCATTTAAAAAAACATTTTCTTGCTTGGAAATTTTTGCTCCACTCATTTACACCTTACACCAATGAGCGACTTATTAGATCGAAACTATAGAAATCATTAGTTGTTTTATCGTAAAGTTGTAGTAAAAATACGCCGCTCTAATTCGTGTTTTCGTTTCTGCGATCATTATTCGGCCGCAAAACAAGCAATAAAATAACTGCGAATAGCCTTCGTCTGCGCGGCAAATGACACAGATTGCTGCGTGCAGACATGCACAAAATGTGTCAGTTGTCCGAGCATATGCAACTGATTTCCGATGGACTTCTCCTAATCAGTAAAGCTCAAAAATATCATCATGCAGAGCTTGCAGTGAATTTGTCGGAGGGGGGAGGAAGATACTGTATTTTCTTGCTGCGTTTGGCGTGATTTATACAATTTTTTTGCGTTTATATTTTCAAGCACGAGCTGTTAAGCAAAATGGATACTATTAGGTTGGCTCGAAAGTTCTTGCGTAATTCAAACAAAATTCAATAACTTTTCAAAGCCTAAACCTAAATTCACAATTTTGTCCGCTAAAAATATTAAAAGGCTTGTGCTCCATGATAGAAGTTATAGCGCAAGATTCCATGAGCTACCACCGAGAACGAAGCTCTCAAATATGGGACTTCAAATTTTGCGATTTTGAGTTTGGTGCCAAAAAATCGCAGAGGGCCGCTAGGTAGCCAAAAAAAATCTTTAAAAATTGCTTACACAGCAAAAGTCTATACGTTATTTTAGCAGGCTTTGATCTCGCATGGAAATGCGAAAACAAAAAATTTGTTAAATTTCTCATTTTACGGGACAAATCCCCATGTCGCTGTAACTTTTCCACAGAAACGCAATTTGCAGAAATTAGACGTAGTGCCTATTTAGAGCTTTGCGACGTTTTTTGGAGTGTAAAAAAGTGTTTTCGTGGAAAAACTGCGGTAATAAGGGGATTTTTTCCGCAAAATGACATATTTCACAAATTTTTTGTTTTTGCTTCACCGTGCAAGATCAAAGCCTTCGAAAGTAACATACGGACTTCTGCTGTGTAAGTAATTTTTACGGATTTTTTTTCGGCTAGCTAGCGGCACTCTGCGATTTTCTGGCACCAAACTCAAAATCGCAAAACTTGAAGCCTCATATTCGGGAGCTTCGTTCTCGATGTCTACGGAATCTTATGTTTGAACGTCCTTCATGGAGCGTAAGACTTCTAATATTTTTAAAGAACAAGAATGTGAAATTAGGTTCAGGTATTGAAAAGTTATCGAATTTTGTTTGAATTACGCAAGAACTTTCGAGCCAGCCTAAGAGATGCTTTGCAGCATAGAAAATTCCATTGAATCAGGACGATGTTTTTTAGCAGAAATTACATAATAGATCAACGCGTTTCTCAATTTTTTTTCAAATTCTGAGGTTATAATCTTTCTATCTCGATATTTCCCGCTATATTACACATACATTTAAGAAATTCCCGTTTCTCACATACCATATATTTATGGACATTAAAGTCACACGTTTTCCTTAATTCAGCTTTTTATTCATTCAAGCTTCATTTCCTTACAAACAGTGTTTGTATACAAGCGAGTTTCGCCACTTAATATGTGAGTCTGCACACTGCGCGCGGCAATCCACGACATCTTATCAGTAATTTGTCAGTATAACCTTTGTAGCGGAGCAAACTGTGGAATATTCAATCATACCGAAAGAAAAGAAAAGAAATCAAGGAGAAATCCGTGGGAATTCACAACTTAAAATCCTACGAGTCGTAAAGTAGCGCGCGTGGTGTGCAGTGTGCACACTGAGTTACAAATGACTCTAGATAAAACATCCAAAAATTTCCTGTTCCTTATATGCTATCTATGTTTATACACTCAAGAATTCCCCGTTTATATTTACTAGTGCTTCGATAAATTTGACAAACCCATTAGGTTATAAATCTAATGTCTCAATTTTTCAGTGCAAATAAAATTTTTTAGATCAGTCCCCTTCCGCAAATTACCGTAACCAAATTGGTACGCTCGCCGAGAATTATTTGCAATTCCAATTACACCCATTGCGCACAGTTTTGTGTAAAAAAGAACATTTCGTCCCATATTTTGCGCAGGACGCCAGCAAGCACAAACATACGTTCACGCAAAAGTACGGACAGAGAGAAATGACCTTCTGCTTTGCCCTCCGACTCCGCCCACTTATTTACGGTCCGACATTACTAGTAGCCCCAGAGACGACGACGAAGATCTGGTTGTTATCGTCCGACGCGGTCCAGCACAGAATATGTCAAATTTTATTTGGACACTGCTATTGGTTCTGATCAAGGTAATTTTGGCCTATTTTTTATTGGTGCCTTTTTCATTTGACCTACTTCCAAGAGTACGGTAATAGCGTCTCTAAGCGAAAAATGTTTTTTTTGGAAATTTTGGTGAGCTTTATCTTTGAAGATTGCTGAAGTCCAGTGAGAACTTTTCTTAGTTGCATTATCCCCCCCCCCTTCTCCTCCTCTCCCCCTTCCTACCAACTCTTTCATCTCCTTTTTTTTCGACCACTTGCTTCCCTACCTCTTGATTCTGAGCGTTATCCAAAAAAGCCGACTGTAGCCGCTGACCTTCAACTTCCCCTTTTTCTTTCCTTTTCCATTTCCCAGTTATTATTGGCTCAGGTATACAAGACCGGTCCCGCATGACCATTTTTGGAAAAATGGCACGTTTTTGTGCGTCAGCCATATCCTATACGCAAGGTTTATGATATGCTATTAAGTTTCTGATTTGGCTAGAAAGACTTACATAAAAATCGCACCTTATCGTTAGTCGTTAACAATTTATCAATCGTACATTGGCTGATTTGTCATTCTGCTCCTTTGCTGATCGAGGCTTATTCTTGGATGATTTTCCC